AATTGGCTTTGCTCGAAGATGTTGCCGAACCCAATGGGGTGAGGTTGGCTTTTGGCTGCGGCGCCCTACTGCTTGTCTGCGTTGTTTTTTCAGTTTTTTTTTCTCGCGGTCGTGTTTTCTGATGAGAAAAAATTCAACTGCGACGGCTCCGACGAAAACCGATTCCGCTGGCACGACCTGAGGAAAGACAAGTTTCATTTTTCCGGGCGGGAACTTCATGCGAATTGGTATTGGTAATTACCACATTTTTGTATGGGGGCATTTTTGAAAACGTCGTGTAAGACGGGATTTTGTGAGATTCATGGGTGGAACTATGATTATGCTTCGCAGTGTATATAGCCCTTCTTAGCTCGTTGATATGCTCAATTTATTCGCAATTCCAAACATGCCTGGTCTGAATGCTGCGCACTTGCAAGCTGCTCTCACCACACCGCAGCAGCTCGAGCCTCCTGAACTGTACCTCGGTCACTATCACTAAATGCTAACTCTCTCATCTCAAAACTATATTATTTTGTTTCTTGTACCCTTGACTTCTGATTTCAGCGTCTCCTGTCGGGCACTTGCTCTAGTCTACACATCTAGTTTGGGAAGGCCAGTACCACTTTCGCGGATATCTAGACTTACTGGTAGACTTATTGTTATTCCTCCGTGCTGTTGAGGACGAGTTCTCTCCACAGTTGTCGGTCTTTCGCAATCCCTTGCGCCTGGTCTGGAGATCCATTCCCTTCTGCACTAACGCTTTTACTTTATATACTGATGACGGCTTTTCTTCAGGTGCAGAAAAGGGAATAAAGGGTTCGGTGAAGGCGAAGAAAGTGGTTTCGCGCGTTAGGACCTATCTGATTCGCACTAAAGCGTCACCTACTTACAGCTTATAAAACGTCACCTACTTACAGCTTAGGTGACACTGACTATTATAGTTTAGGCGCGTTGCCGGCAATCTGGCTGTTGGCTTGCACAATTTCTCTCTCAGCCTTTCCTATTATCTCATTAGCTCAATGCACTCCGAGATTTGAAGCCTACATCTCTCTGTTCTCATCTGTACTGTGTTCTCCAATCTTCTCTCTATGCTTCGTATAGCTTTGATACCTTACCGTCTGAATTCGATGAGACTCTTCGGACTGGATGGTGTCTCGCCGTGTTTCCAAGACAAATAGTGGAACTGAGTGATGGTACGTGTCTGTCCGTTGCGAAGATTCTTCAAGTAAAACGAACGCACGAGGTAGTCGTCACTCCAAATGTGTTCCGAGACTAGATGAATCTGTAAAAAAGGTGCTTTTAGCGTTTGCGAGGGATCATTAGGTTAAGGTTAGAAGATTTATTGATACCAGTCGGCTCGCCGGCTAACGCCGGCGCGCCTCCTGATACGGCCCGGCTGCGCCGGGCGGGCGCGGCTTCGCCGCGCGTATTTTCACATATTTCTAGACTCAACTGATATCCGCCTTTTGTTCTGTACTCCACTTTTTTCCGGTGTCTGAAGTACTCTTGAGCTATTTTACAGATTCTTCGTCTGACTCCGCCCACCTCGTAGCGGGCCCCCGCCCACAATGCTTGTGCCCCACAGCATCTCCACTGGCCGACACGCCTCTGTCGTGACCGTTAATTCCACTTTTTTCTGCGCCTTCGGAGTTGTCTGGGACAGTTTTAGAGAATTTTCGTCTTTCTCCGCCCACCTCGGGTTGGCCCCGCCCACAATGTTTTTGCCCCACAATCCTCACCGGCGACCCTCTGCCTGACCTCATTCCACTTGGGTGTTTTTTTCGCGTTCTGAGTGTCTTGGAACCCAGCACAAAACTTTTAAAACGAAATACCCTGCGAATTTTAGTGCAAGCTCCGCCTCACTGGTGAGCGGGTCTCCACCATACTTTTGGAGCGTGGCCCGGATATCGCTAGATAGTTTATATCTCTACACTGAGTTTTTTTGCGACTTCCAAACACTCTCGCGAACCGGTTACTGAATTTTACGAGAAGCACCGCCCATCATGAGTACGCCCCTCCCATTTGGATCCGTTCTGCCACAGTTAGTCTGGCGACTCCTTACTAACCTTATTCCCTTTTTTCCCCATCTTTAAGCTGCCCCGGAAGCGAATTATGAACATTTTTCTGCGGAACCCCAAACTTTCGGCGAGAGCTCCGCGCCACTGTGTGTTCGGGGCTTCCCATAGGTCGAGTGTGTGCTTTTATTTCTGTTCCCATGCCCTACCCATCCCCACCTTGACCCGACCTCTCCAAGTCGTTCTTCAGGTCGAACCGAATTTCCGGACAGACAAACAAACTTACAAACAAACAAACAAACAAACAAACAAACAACAGACAGAACAGTAATGTATATGGGGTGATGCGGGCGTATATTAACCATTGTGAGCGATTATAGTCAGTCTCGCTGCGGCACCTTATGTCTGCTTGCCTGCGAGCTCACAGCGAAGAGAAATAAAATGAACATGTTCTGAGTCTTCAGAGAGACATGTCCAGCCATCCCTACACCAAAATGCCACCATATCCCCAATACGCGGTGGGCGTGGCCATATACCTCATTAAAAAATGGAATACGAGGGATTCAACTATACACAACTGCCTAACTTGTGTTGTGCTCGCCAAAGACATGATTACAATTGTTCCTAAATGTTCCATCCCACCAAAAGCACAGCCGCCGCTTCATTTTCAAAGACCTAGCCACGCCTACTGCATCTCATGAATTTGAAGTATATGTATTCATCCAGTGAATCACCAACCTCAAAAGGACCGTGCACTTCGGATCCAGACTCGGGCCAATAGGTCTTCTCTTGCTTGCATTCTTCAATTGTGGACAGATTGACGATCAGGCAAACTCCATGCTGCCATATCGCCTGCCAGAAAGGCGCCAAGTCTTCGCCTCGTGGTGTTTGGGCAGCGATGTAGACAGGTTGCCTGTAATCAAGTACTTCGTTTCTAGGGCTCAGAAAGGTGGTTATGTGTCGTTGTATCGTCAAACCTTGGGTCATCGTCGTAGATAAAGCTTGCATTCAGATATTCCGTCTTTCCTTCCTCCCACGAGTCAACAGGAACGAGACTTTCGTCAACTGGAAATAGATCATCACTAACATTCGTATCAAACTTCAATCAATCAAGAGCTGCAACTCTCAAAATAGGGCAAAAGAGCCAGCAAAATTGAGATTGAATCATGAACTTAAGCAAAAATAAAAAAGTGCTAATCATCATAAGGTAGAGTTATTCATGTAGGTGTCGGAATAGGTTCAGCCCATATCTAAGGGCAACAAGGGGTGTTACTGCGGGAGGGCAAAGGGAAGCAGAGACTTTTGTAAGAGAAGATCTTTCTGTAAGAGAAATGAGTCAACAGGGAAACAGACAGCCGTCGCCAGAGCGCCTCTTCTCCTCGTCAGATAAAAAAGAGGTTCAAAAAACTTTTGAAGCTTCACTTTCATAACTTTTATGATTCGCAAGCGACCACCAGCATGTCCCCCACCACACGCCCCTCCTGAGATGCGCCAGGCTTTCAATCTCCATTCGGGAACATGGTAGCGCTCGAATGTAGTTTGCACTGCACAATGGCTTGCGGTGTCAGCCATTATTCAAAGTTTCCATACTGTAACCATCAGGCGAATCTGGGGTGATCTGGATGGTCTG